GTTTCTTTCAGTAGTTCTTGGTGCAGCACCACCACCAACGAGTGGGGGAACAAGTTGTTTCAACAGGTTGGCTCGACTGCACAGTGCAGTGTGAATGCAAACCGTCCATCCATTTTCTTCCGCTTATCCGGGTTCGGGTCGCGGGGAAAGCAGCTTAAGTAGGGAGGCCCAGACTTCCCTCTCACCAGCCACTTGGGCCAGCTCCTCCGGGGGAACCCCGAGGCGTTCCCAGGCCAGCCGAGAAACATAGTCCCTCCAGCGTGTCCTGGGTCTTCCTCTAGAACTCCTCCTGGTGGGACGTGTCCAGAACACCTCAACAGGGAGGTGTCCAAGAGGCATCCTAACCAGATGCCCAAGCCACCTCAACTGGCTCTTCTCGACGTGGAGAAGCAGCGGCTCTACTCTGAGTCCCTCCCGGATGATCGAGCTTCTCACCCTATCTCTAAGGGAGAGTCCAGACACCCTGCAGAAAAAACTCATTTCGGCCGCTTGTATCCTCATTCTTTCAGTCACAACCCAAAGCTCATGACCATAGATGAGGGTAGCTTCGCCTTTTGACTCAGCTCTCTCTTCACCACGACAGACCTGTACAGCGCCCGCTTCACTACAGACGCTGCACCTATCCGCCTATCGATCTCACGCTCCATTTTTCCCTCATTCGTGACCAAGACCCCAAGATACTTGAACTCTTCCACTTGGGGCAGGACCTCCTCCCTAACCCAGATAGGGCACTCTACCCTTTTCCGGCTCAAGACCATGGCCTCGGATTTGGAGGAACTGATCTTCATCCCGGCTGTGTCACACTCGGCTGCGAACCGCTCCAGCAAAAGCTGTAGATCACGATCTGATGAAGCCAACAGGACTACATCATCTGCAAAAAGCAGAGACGCAATCCTAAGGCCACCAAAACGGTTCCTTTCAACATCTTGGCTGTGCCTAGAAATTCTGTCCATAAAAGTTATGAACACAATCGGTGACAAAGGGCAACCTTGGCGGAGTCCAACATTCCCCGGGAACGAGCCCGACTTACTGCCGGCGATGCGGACCAGGCTCTGACACCGGTCATACAGGGACCTAACAGCCCGTATTAAAGGGTCTGGTACTCCATACTCCCAGAGTACCCCCCCACAGGGTTCCCCGAGGGACGCGGTCGAACGCCTTCTCCAAGTCCACAAAGCACATGTAGATAGGATGGGCAAACTCCCATGCACCCTCCAGGACCCTGCTGAGAGTGTAGAGCTGGTCCAGTGTTCCACGATCAGGACGAAAACCGCACTGCTCCTCCTGAATCCGAGGTTCGACTATCCGACGGACCCTCCTCTCCAGAACCCCGAATAGACCTTACCAGGGAGGCTTAAGAGCGTGATCCCCCTGTAATTGGAACACACTCCATGGTCCCCCTTTATGAATAGGGGGACTACCACCCCGGTCTGCCAATCCAGGGGAACTTCCCCCAATGTCCACGCAATATTGCAGAGTCACGTAAGCTAACACAACCCTACAACATCCAGAGCCTTAATGAACTCCGGGTGAATCGCATTCACCCCTGTGGCCCTGCCACCGAGGAGCTTTTAAACCACTTTGGTGACCTCAGCACCAAGATTGGAGGGTCCGACCCAGAGTCCCCAGGCTCCGCTTTGCTAAAGACGGGAACTGGCTATGGGCTACCGGACCCGGAAACCACCTCCAGCCCATGTCTTTTCCCCTGGCTCAAATCTCCCTCAGAAGTGGCAACTTTCATCAATAAATCAAGGAAACGCCAATATAGTTTGATCAATTATATATATATAAAAAAAAGGCATTAAAATGTTACAATTTACAGCGCTGGACTCTCCGGTTTGTGACGCAATCACAGACTCTGAAAAGCCCCTATGTCCATTGTCATTACTCATTTATAGGGTCCTAGACTCCTCCTTCACAGAAGGGGAGCTCAACCTGTCAGTGTACGAGGGGTCGTGACTAAGTGTGAACTCAATGGATCTTATGTGGTTCTGATTTGTTAGGAAATATGAGACGTTGCTTCAAAAGCCTTTCTATGTGATGTGTCAAGCAGATTAAACTCTATTCCTTGACTGATATTGAAATCCCAGGGAGACTCTCTTAGAGCTGCGGGCCCAGTTTTACCCAGTCAGAACCGGGTTGTAATTTCATTATAATCCCGTCTCTGAGCAGATCAAAACCATGGGCCCAGTCCAAAAATATCTTAACAGCTTCCTCAGTGAAAGATGTGCTGGTAGGATTGAGGAGGTCTTCAAAGTATTCCTCCCACCAACCCACGACATCCCGAGTTGAGGTCAGCAGCACACCACCCCAACTATAAACTATGTTGGCGGTGTACACCCCCCCCCCCCTTCGAGACACCGGATGGTGGACCAGAATTGCCTTGAAGCCGTGCGGAAGTCATTCTCCATGGCCTCTCCGAACTCCTCCCATGCCCGAGTTTTTGCCTCAGCAACCAGCCGCTCCTCCCCTGGCTACTTGCTTTAGCTGAAGACGTTTACATATACAGATAGGATCTTTGTTGACTCACAGTGGGAGAGTACTTTAAATTCCTGATCAGGTGTGAAATATGACGGTGGCTGCTTTAACAAAGTGTAGATGAACAGATGCTCAGATATATTCATCAATTAACACGGATTCCTCATTTTTCTGAACTGAATAAAACGTGCATTGAATTTAATGAAATGCAAGCGTGAGACGTCATTTATCTTTGACCCATCAAAATGAATGCGGTCATTTATTTACAGAATCAAAGTTTAACATCAAACATTTACATTAATTTGGCAAATTATGAAAATAACAACATAAGCAATCAATCAGGAAAAATCATACGGCCATGATTTTTCCGTTGCTTCACCACAGACATTTATGAAAACTGTACAATTATGATCTTTTTCCCACACGGAGGTGGATGAGCACTTTACACAGACATTTCTAAATATCTGGAAGAATTTCTACTTGAGAGAGGAGTTTAAAGATGGGAAAGAAATTTAAAGAAGAGTAAAAGATGGGGTTTGAGGGAGTGTTGAACAGAACGGCACTCTCTGGGCTTTCTTCAGCCTCATCCTTACAGTACACTTAGGTGGTGAAATCGACTCTTTTACCTGGAGATGTCTCAGGCGAGATTCCGTTTAACGCACCCTTCAGCGTCTCCGTAGGATGCTGTTACTCGTCCGGAGTAGCGGCGAGATTCTGTCCGCCACAGCTCACCTCAGTGAAGATGTTATAATCCCATGAAACTCGGAAGAGCTCTGTTGTCATGTCAGGATCTTCCCGGCTCACAGAACTGAACAGAGACCCAACTCCCACAGAACTGAACTCTCACAGCCCTCACAGAACTGACAGAACTGTGTATCCAACAGAACTCCAACCGAACTCCAACAGAACCCCAACCGAACTCCAACAGAACTCCATCAGAACTGAATAGACCAGGAAGTACCGACATTTTAAAGAGCTCTTTTCCCGGTTCATTCGGGAGTCTCCCCATTGGCCAGAACCGACCAGACGGGGTGTGTTTTGTGACGTAAAAGGTTAGAAGGCAGCAAGAATTGTTATGGAACAGATCAGAAATGTTCTCACAGACAGAGAGAGTTTTGTTTTGGCGAGTTTAAGAAACAGGTGCCAAAACCCCCCTGTTGACGTCTGAGAGGATATAAACAGGACAGTTGTTCCAAC